GTGTCTTTTATCTGGGGAAGAGGTGGTAGCAGGATGCACTATGGGAAGAAGGCAGGTGGAGGCACCATTATGCTCTGGGATATGTTCTGCTTGTAACCCATGAGTTTATGAGAATGTTATTTTGATATGTACTACTTACCTAGAGATTGCCTTCACTACCTGTAGAATCAGCACCTTACTATATCCTGGAGCTGAAGCTGGAGCTGCAGTGAAGCTCCAAGAAAGTGGAAACTCCAAAAAAACTCAAAAAAATAAGTTTTAACTAACTACACTATCGGTTCCCTCTGTTTCTCCTTTTGTCATTACATATACGTCCACAAGAACACCCTAGCCGCTACACCTACCTTTTGTTTTATATAATTTTAATGTTGTGGCTGATCAGTGTATATAGGGGCATATTCACTGGATGCAATAACAGTTTGCAATTATTTTTAGTTATAGATGTATTGTTAAAGAATCTATATGTATATGGATATAAAATATAAGGGGGGTAAATGATTAAAAAGAAAGGGAGAAGGATAAGACTTGTATATAATTGGAGAAAGGCAAAGGGGATATAACATGCTGAAGATGGAGCAAGAGGGATGAGGATAAACTATGTATTTCTTAACAGAGAAGATACGTTGCCAGAGGAGAACATATGGTACCATACAAGAAGAAAACAGGAAATAACTCGGGCAGGTGAACAGATACTCAATACTAGACAAGAAGTAACTGGAAGGAGAAATGAATGATCTCCTACAGGTCCTTAGTAATAAAGCCCCAGCCTATTACAATATTGTTTTTTATATTGTAGTTATCCACACTTCAAGATGGTGATCTGTCATGATGTTGTCCTGGAGTTTAACCCCTTAAGGAAACAACTTCTGGAATAAAAGGGAATCATGACATGTCACCCATATCATGTGTCCTTAAGGGGTTAAGTTAATATTTCACAGTTATTTAGTATAGATTGGAATGTAACATATTAAAGTCATTTACCATTGTTTGGACATGTATTTATTTTTATTTTTAAATATTACTTTAATTCTTTTGATTGATGCCTGGAGCATATGATTGCCATCTTATTTGTCCTTCTGTCAAATGGCATAAGATTTACATGTTTGATTTCTTTATTATATACAGCTTAATATGTTGGTGTTAATATTAAACTGTCACTTGTATTTTATTGCTCAGATTTAGTATTTAATTTGTATAATGCAGAGAATTGCAAGTTTTATTAATTTGATAGAAACCACAGATGGCAGTAGCATTCAACGCAAATATAGACACATTGTAAAGATTTGATGAAGTTTTCCTTTTTATTTTTCCATTCATCTCTCCAGCTCTCTAAATCTTTGTCTCTGTTTAGCATGCAGACATACACACATAGGCGTGCGCAGCCTATTGTATAAGGGTGTGCACCCTAAAGCAGAAACACACACGCCGCATATATATTTATATATGTATACATATGTACACATACACATACATACACACACACATACTGCTGTGTGTGTGAGGGTGCTGTGTGTAGGTGCTGTGTGTGTGAAGGCGCTGTGTGTGTGCGGGCGCTGTGTGTGAAGGCGCTGTGTGTGTGTGGGCACGCTGTGTGTGTGAAGGCGCTGTGTGTGTGTGAAGGTGCTGTATGTGTAAGGGTGCTGTTAGTGTGTGTGTGAAGGTGCTGTATGTGTAAGGGTGCTGTTAGTGTGTGTGTGAGGGTGATGTTAGTGTGTGTATGTGTAAGGGTGCTGTGTGTGTAAGGGTGCTGTTAGTGTGTGCTGTGTGTGTATGTAAGGGTGCTGTGTGTGTGAGGGTGCTGTGTGTAAGGGTGCTGTTAGTGTGTGCTGTGTGTGTGTAAGGGTGGTGTGTGCTGTGTGTGTGTGTATGTGTGAGGGTGCTGTGTGTGTAAGGGTGTTGTTAGTGTGAGGGGGCTGTTAGTGTGTGTGTGTAAGGGTGTTGTTAGTGTGTTCTGTGTGTGTGTATGTGTGAGGGTGCTGTGTGTGTAAGGGTGCTGTTAGTGTGAGGGTGCTGTTAGTGTGTGCTGTGTGTGTAAGAGTGATGTATGTGTGTGCGCTGTATGTTTGTGTGTAATGTGTGGGGGCCGTTTAGTTAATATCCCCCCTCCCTTGTTACCTTATGTAGGGTGGGGGGAACGTGCTCCTGCCTTCCCTGGTGGTCCAGTGGAGAGTGAACTCTAGCCCTGTGTGGGGCCAGAGTTCACTCTCGCGAGATATGAGCGGCAACACTCTGACCGCATGAGAGGAACCCGGCGAAGCTGCTGGCAAGAGCTCCCTGGGTCCACTCCTTCCCTGCCTGTGGGTCGGTGAGGAAGATCTTTGATCTACCTCACCGGCCCATGGAGGGAGGCACATAGTGCATGCCGCAGGGATTAGGGTGCACCTAGGCACACCCGGCACACCCGTGCACACGCCTATGCATACACATTGTCATACTCTTGTACACACATGTGCATAGGTAGAGGGTAACTGTGAATGGGCATAAACCTTCACCATTGATAAACCACCCCAACCTCTTATTTCCAAAATGAACCACAACAGACTTGCTTTGGATTAAAATAGGCCACAGCTTGATTTAAAAAAAAAAAAATATATATATACAGGGAGTGCAGAATTATTAGGCAAATGAGTATTTTGACCACATCATCCTCTTTATGCATGTTGTCTTACTCCAAGCTGTATAGGCTCGAAAGCCTACTACCAATTAAGCATATTAGGTGATGTGCATCTCTGTAATGAGAAGGGGTGTGGTCTAATGACATCAACACCCTATATCAGGTGTGCATAATTATTAGGCAACTTCCTTTCCTTTGGCAAAATGGGTCAAAAGAAGGACTTGACAGGCTCAGAAAAGTCAAAAATAGTGAGATATCTTGCAGAGGGATGCAGCACTCTTAAAATTGCAAAGCTTCTGAAGCGTGATCATCAAACAATCAAGCGTTTCATTCAAAATAGTCAACAGGGTCGCAAGAAGCGTGTGGAAAAACCAAGGCGCAAAATAACTGCCCATGAACTGAGAAAAGTCAAGCGTGCAGCTGCCACGATGCCACTTGCCACCAGTTTGGCCATATTTCAGAGCTGCAACATCACTGGAGTGCCCAAAAGCACAAGGTGTGCAATACTCAGAGACATGGCCAAGGTAAGAAAGGCTGAAAGACGACCACCACTGAACAAGACACACAAGCTGAAACGTCAAGACTGGGCCAGAAATATCTCAAGACTGATTTTTCTAAGGTTTTATGGACTGATGAAATGAGAGTGAGTCTTGATGGGCCAGATGGATGGGCCCGTGGCTGGATTGGTAAAGGGCAGAGAGCTCCAGTCCGACTCAGACGCCAGCAAGGTGGAGGTGGAGTACTGGTTTGGGCTGGTATCATCAAAGATGAGCTTGTGGGGCCTTTTTGGGTTGAGGATGGAGTCAAGCTCAACTCCCAGTCCTACTGCCAGTTCCTGGAAGACACCTTCTTCAAGCAGTGGTACAGGAAGAAGTCTGCATCCTTCAAGAAAAACATGATTTTCATGCAGGACAATGCTCCATCACACGCGTCCAAGTACTCCACAGCGTGGCTGGCAAGAAAGGGTATAAAAGAAGAAAATCTAATGACATGGCCTCCTTGTTCACCTGATCTGAACCCCATTGAGAACCTGTGGTCCATCATCAAATGTGAGATTTACAAGGAGGGAAAACAGTACACCTCTCTGAACAGTGTCTGGGAGGCTGTGGTTGCTGCTGCACGCAATGTTGATGGTGAACAGATCAAAACACTGACAGAATCCATGGATGGCAGGCTTTTGAGTGTCCTTGCAAAGAAAGGTGGCTATATTGGTCACTGATTTGTTTTTGTTTTGTTTTTGAATGTCAGAAATGTATATTTGTGAATGTTGAGATGTTATATTGGTTTCACTGGTAATAATAAATAATTGAAATGGGTATATATTTGTTTTTTGTTAAGTTGCCTAATAATTATGCACAGTAATAGTCACCTGCACACACAGATATCCCCCTAACATAGCTATAACTAAAAACAAACTAAAAACTACTTCCAAAAATATTCAGCTTTGATATTAATGAGTTTTTTGGGTTCATTGAGAACATGGTTGTTGTTCAATAATAAAATTAATCCTCAAAAATACAACTTGCCTAATAATTCTGCACTCCCTCGAACACAAATATATATATATATATATATATATATATATATACACACCTTTCTACTTTATAGCATAAAACACTATATATATATATTTGTGTTCGAGGCAAATAGCCGTGTATGGAGTAAGGTTCCAGCATAAGCGTAGGATAGTATAAAGGGAGCAAGTCGGTTGTGGTGTGCTGAGACCGACGAGACGGTAGGCCTGTAAATAAAGAGGGCCCACCAAGGAGTAAGTAAGTAGAGTAAATGGAAAGAAAAGAGAAAGTGTTGAAATGAGGAGTGGGTGGGAGGGTCATTCTGATGCTGACCTCAAGCGATATGAGTCAGGTAAGGAGTGTCCCTTATATAGGGGAGTGAATTAAGTTAAGCCCCTCCCACAAATACAGGCCAAACGGCCTTAAACCTTGTGTTCAGGGCAAATAGCTGTATATGGAGTAAGGTTCCAGCGTAAGCGTAGGATAGTATAAAGGGAGCAAGTCGGTTGTGGTGTGCCGAGACCGACGATACGGTAGGCCTGTAAATAAAGAGGGCAAAAAGAATAATCAAAGATTTAATACAGTCAACAATATGCTTTGGTTATGCTTCGGTTAGTGGTCCCGCGAGGCCAACACCCTGCCTCACACTCGGAGGCATACACCCCTCGGGCCACTCATGAGCTAGCCGCCTCGCATTGTATCATAGAGAGGGCCTCACCTGTCACTCCCCTTCCTATTTTTCTGGTTACTGTCACCGAGAGGCCAACATCCTGCCACAACGTTCGGTGGCAGTAACACTCCCTAACAGGCACACACTCACTAACAGACACACACACACACATAGTAACACTCCCTAACAGACACATACACAGTGTGTGTGTAACTGTTAGTGAGTGTGTCTGTTAATGTGTGTGTCTGTTAGTGTGACACACACATTAACATACACACTCACTAACAGTTACACACACACTCACTCACTAACAGACACACACACACTAACAGACACACACTCACTAACAGACACCCACACACACTCACTAACAGCCACACACACACACTCACTAACACCTACACAAACACATTCACAGACACACACACTCACAAACAGACACTCATTTTTTAAAAAATTCAATCCCCCAGCCTCCCTACCTTTGGATTATCACTTTCCCTGGGGACCAGTGGGGCTGCTGGACGGCCAGCCGGCCGGTGACACAGTCGGTGAGGGAGCACTGATCCTCCTGAGCAGCTCACTCACGTGCCGCGTAGTGATGCTAGAGCCGGAATGACATCATATTCTGGCTCTGGCATCACTGCGGTGCGCGCAAGGGAGCTGAACAGGAGGAAAAAGTTCCGGAAAGTTCCGCTGCTGCCAGCCTGGGAGGCCCTGAAGGGGCTCCCAGGACAAGAGGCTAGCAAGGCATTAGCCAGGGCGACTGGGGGGGTGGCTTTTTTTGCTGCCCCCCCAGAAAGTGCCGCCCAAGGCAAATGCCTTGTTTTCCTCTGGGTAAACACACCCCTACTCCCACCCGATCCCTGGGGTACCGAACCAACGGACTTCTGCCACTGCTAGTGTGTGATGGTGTCGCGGGATTCTGTCAGCGTGGATGCAAGGAAACTCAGCGGTCACGCCCACAGAAATAATACATAATTACCTTGCTCGTGGCAGGCCACTTCCCGACCTCCTTCCATCCCGGTTCCCAGAGTGTGCGGCGTTCCTGGAGATGCCGGCCGCTGCGGTTCCAGTTTTGAAGGTGAAATAGCCTTTTGCCACATTAAAGATGGCGCTTACGTGCGTGTGACGTCACGTCATAGACGTGCATGCACGTTTTGGGGTCAGAGGCCACATAGAGGAAATTATAGCTTTAGGATGGTTATTTAAACCCAAATTACCTTTTGATCAGTGCGATGTCGTGGTTTCCTTTTGCTGGTTATCCGAGAGTGTGTTCCTGATCGTATTATTCTGGTTTTGACTTTGGTTTAAATTTTGACATCCCTGATTTCTGGTATCCTTGACTTTTGGCTTTCCCTCATCGTTGTGTCTTATTCTGTATCCCTGACCCCGGCAACTATTTTGACTAATCTTGGGTACGTTAAGTCCAGCCATTCTAAGGTCCGGTGAGATGTTAACCTTAGTCTTAGGTGTGATACTATTTCTGCATGCTGGATCAACTAGTAATCCTGACATGGTGACTGGCCCAGTTGTAGTTCCCCAGGGCAAACTTCAGCCTGCTGTCGTGCCCAATGTATATAAGAATGGCCGATGACCCTTTCCGGCACCTACAACGACAAAATGGGAAACAGAATCAGTTCAGTTGGTCGAACATACGATCGGAGCCCATCTCCCAATCCTCTGGATAACTTCCTCAGGCAACCCCAGGTGAGATGCCTCAGTAGCAGCCCTTATTTGAAAGGAATGCCCCCCAAACTCTGCACTAGGCAGCTCCAAAACCTCCAAAACCATGCAGAAAACCCATATAAATTGGAAACGAGATAGGAAACTAGCATCCCTGTGAACCAACAAAGGACAGACCATAGAGCCAGGGATTCTTTGTAACGTGACCTATGTGTCCGTCTTGGACTTGCAAATCAAAAGTCTCACTGCATCCGCTTCACTAAAAACATTCCCACATAATAAACCCCAAGGACCGCTTTGGATAGGCTCACATGCTCCCCAACCCGCATGGCTCCAGAAAAAGTGAAGGAAAATGCTAACCGAAACAAACCTCTTAGAATGGGGAGAAACAAACCATTCAGCCAAAACCTCAGCCCAGACACCTTACTGGACACAGCCGAGGAGTAACAGCCCGATGCTTCCCAGAACCAAATTAGTTGAAAAAAACTTTGCACACGCTCACCATCTGTCAGAAAACCACCGAGCTGCCTCTCGAATTCCACCCACTCGCTCAATGCCTTACCATAATGCTGCCAAGTAGACTCTGAGACATTATAAGGTCAGCCCAAGGCCCCACAGATCCGGTGGGCATGGTAAGCCCACCTTGTCCTCCGCCCTCAATTCCCACCACTGAAAATGAGAAAGAGCATCTGCTGTAACATTAGCAACCCCGGGCACATGAACAGCCCTACAATATACATTCAGAAGCAAACAGCGCAGTACTAATCACCTCAGAAGCCAAACCACTGGAGGGGAAGAAGCCAACAAATTGTTGATGGCCAGCACCACCCCCATATTTATCACAGTGGAAGACCACCTTACGATCCCTGAGGAGATCACCCCAGAGCTTCACCGCCACCACGATAGGGAAAAGCTCTAAGAAATCCAAGTTCTTAGTTAACCCCTCCGAATGCCAGGATTCCATCCAAAATTCAGTACACCAATGGGCCCAAAGAGCGCCCCAAAACATGACATCCAGACTGCCAGACGTGGTCGTTCCAGAAGTGCCCATCAGGGGATTTGATATCCTGCAGTTTTGCCTCAGAGCCACTCTCAAGTTCTTGCTTCAGCCTGATACTTATCCTTGTCAAGTCTCCAGCAATGGGGGCTGGACTTAACCTATGACTGCTCCTGTCAATCATGGTCCATCTGTAAAGCATCACTGATTAGCCAGGTATAAGACACTGCCTCTCCCTGAGGGCAGTGTCAGTTCATTGACTCTAGTCCTGCTGTTTGGTTCCTGTTTTAGTGTTATCCAGATGGCTCCTGACCTTGGCTTTCTTACTGTGTATCCTGACTTCTGGCATCCTCTGACTTTGGCTTACCCTTGACAATTCTCCTGCTTGTGTCCTCACCTGTACCGCGACTTGGAGCAATATCTTGCACAGCCCCTGTGCACAGACTCACAGGCCAGGTGAATTCTTACCGGACCACCTTGGCCTGTGTTTAATTGTAAGGGTGAGCATAAATCTCTGCCTGCCGGACTCCCAACTAAGGTAAGCTGTGACAGAAACCCACCACACCTGTGGCTTTGGTGAAAAGATGGTCAGCATTGGACACTTCAGGCGCCTGCCAATACGACCGACCATTAAACCTGTCCAAGAAGACAGACATTGTCCCATTCCTGAGTTCCTCTGTGTGTCTCTTGATCTTCTCCCCAGCCCCTGTGTGTCACTGTCCCCTTTTTCAGACCCTCTGTGTGTCCTTGCCCCCATCCCCAGCTCCTCTGTGTAATTGTCTTCTACTCAAGCACACACACAGACTGCTAAATACACACAAAGACTGCTGAATACATACACTGAAAACTGAATACACACACAGACTGCTGAATACACACACGGACTGCTGAATACACACATACAGACTGCTGAATAGGCTAGGATATGGTTCACTTACCTTATCTGTAAGCTGCCCCCATGCCTCACTTAACAGATCTTTAGGCTGCCCCCCATGGCTCACTTATCTAATCTGTAGGGTGCCCTGCATGCCTCACTTACCTAATTTGTAGGCTGCTCCCCCCATGCCTCACTTACCTAATCTGTAAACTGCCCTCCATGCCTCATTTACCTGCTCTGTAGGCTGCCCCCCATGCTTCACTTACCTAATCTGTAGGCTTCCCTTCCATGTCTCACTTACCTAATCTGTAGGCTGTCTGCCCATGCCTCACTTACCAAATCTGTAGACTGCCCCCCATGCCTAACTTACCTGATATGTAGGCTGCCCCCTCCCACCCCTCACTTATCTGATCTGTAGGCTGTCTTTGCAGGCTGGGAGTTGCTGGCTGCACTCTGTGCTACTCCCCTGCAGAGTGTCAGGAGAGAGAAGCAGGGATAAGATGTAGCTTCTTATCCCTGCCTCGCTCCATACACAGCAGCACCTACTGACCAGCGCCAGTATTGCACATTATTCTAAATCTCAAAAGAAAAATACCGGCACAAGCTGAAAAATCCAGGCGGGGCAAGTGCCAGCATGTATAGGCAGCACCATATGCGGCTGGCGCAACTTCCACGCTCGGCGGAGCCACCACAGGCACTGGAGATTCAGGGACCACTGGGGCAGAGGCTAACGAAGTCCCACCTGGAACGAGTACCCCAAGCCCCCCAGAAGAAGTAACCGGAGAAGGGTCCCACCCCGCCTAACCTGCGCGTCCAAAGATGGGGCCGCTGAACAACATTCCAAGGTATCCAGGTGAAGCAAGTCTCGCAGCCACAGACCGGCGATTCCACAAGGCCAGGCCTGCACTCCTGAGCCCAGGAGGGTCCGTAGCTTCCCCTTGAGAGGCAAAACGCTCTGGTGGCTGAGCTCGGCCCTGGGACCTCCGCTACCACAGGGAGGGGCGGCGGCAACATCATCGGAGTGTTATGTACAATAAATAGTGGTGAGAGCACACAATTAAATGAAAATTATACCTCAAATTGGACAAATGGTAGATGAATGTATAAACAAAATGATAAACACACATATGGTTATATAGTATTAACTGGAATGTATGTGTACAAGAAGAGTTGTATCCACTCACATGATTCTGAGCCACTCCACAAGCTGGGTCAGTCTAAAAGCTGTATATGCTGAAGAAATGGTTGCCACTTAGTAAGGATCTGGATACTGGGTTCACAGCTGTTGCCTGTTCGGTGCAGCACCAAAGAAGATCCAGGATACCGGATTCATGTGTAAAACAGCACCACAAGCTTTATTGAACAAACAGTAAAAACGATACCTTACAAATAATAAAAGACAGTCCACCTCCACTTAAGTAATGCAATGTATTCCTAACACTATAAGTAATGTAATGTATTCCTAACACTTGCTTTTTGTGTGTTTGGAGTGATACACACGGTGATTGTAGCACCTTTTACTTCATTTTTATCAACTTTACTATTTATTGCTTTTAACAGCCGTGGAGGCCTGAAGACGAGCCAGTTGAGTCTGCAGGTGCAGACCCCCATCTTGTAAGGCCTCAGCCCTGAGGGCAGAGGGGACAGCTTCGATATCCATACTGACCCTGGACGCAAACAGGACTTGGAAAGCAGGTATAATGAGAGCAACAACCAGCAATTACCAAGCTGTTCCCAACT